TTATAGAAATATCCGTGATATGTATATCCTTTACTATAACAAATTAAAGTTGACAAATCAATATTTGTCACATTATACGTCGACAGATTATAAAGTAATTTTATAATTCAAAAGTAATTTTAAATTATAAAAAAGATGTATATTATCATGAAGATTATGGGACATTCCAACCAATAACTTTGCAAATATTTATTTTTTTCATATAAATTTGTAAATCTTAAAAAATAACTAAATAAGGAAAATTATTAATATACCTTGTAGTTTCTTTAAAAAAAAGTCCAAGTATTATTAATTCGATAAAATAAATACTCCCATACAATTTTTACGGCACGTAAACGACGGCAAAGGGTTAATGAAGATTTTCAAAAGGCAGCTATACACGTAACGAAACGTTCAGAAAAAGGTATCAGAGTTTCTCTTTGTAAATTGTTGGAAATGAGTAAACAAGTTCAGTTTTATGCGCCTAGTATTTGAATTTGGCGCGTATTCCATTAGTACCAGAAACGGCCACACAGAATTCTCAGTGGCAATTTCTATTGACTTATGCCCTAAATCTAATGATTAAATAATGTAAATTGGTCGTAATGTTATTCCTACGAATACTTTTACACTCACTATACGTTAAATTCATACCTTTTAATTAATTAAACGAATTATATCGCATTTAAAAATATATAAATTTTCAAAGCTTAAATGTTCGTTTCTCAAATACAATTTTTCAATTAATTAATCATAATGAAGCATGACGGTGAATTAGTTGGAAAATTCTCGATTTCATACTGTTTACAAAATGTTCTATCAAGCCTTGATCAATTCCTGCTTTTAATTATTTGTCATTATATAGTTTACTGTAGAATGACTTTTGTTAACTATTTTGGTAATATTTCTTACTGACAATGCATCCGTAAAATTACTTATAATTAGCTCCTCCAGGATTTCTAATTGATGTCTGTTCTCAGATTCCCATTTTTACATATTAAAATAAATTTCGCAAAAACTCACAAATTTCTATTGCTTATTTCACACTTATTCAACATAATATTAAAACAATTGTAACTATCAAAGGACAAAGTTACCGGTGATTCCCCACATTCTACGGCGAAAAACAAACAATGTTGCCAACTGTTCGAGTTGTAGTTTGAGGTTAGTTTCCATTATTTTCGAAACTAATTTTATATGACTCAATGTAGATAAATTTTGCGTTTGTTTTTAATAAACTTGATTGACCTTGAATGAAGCTTATTAAAAGTAATTTTATTTTCTTTTTAGATTTGTTTCTTGCAATAACATTTGCTTCACGAAGTACGAAACTTTGAGGTTAGTTTCCATAACTTCTGAAACTTTGATTTTTTAACACTCAATGTAGATAAATTTTAACTCAGACCTAATAATTATTTGAAACAATTTTCATTGTAATTAATCTCTAAATAAATGTTTTTTCATAATTGAACTTTTTTCCATCCAGCAAACAGCATTTTTCTTAAAAGAGGTTACCAAGTCATTCTTTACGCAAATATTGCAAAATTTTTGTCCATAACTTAATTTTTACGTAATACTGCAAAAGAAAGAAGCAATAGTTCTAACCATAACAATAATTAAGCCAAAAATGAAGTGAACTTATTAATATTGGTCAGCATAGTAATAATTATTATTTGGTATTGGTACATTTACCTTACCACTTACCTCGAGCGCAGAAAGTCTAGTTTCTGTTAGAGGTGGCGTCTTTAAAAAAAAATTTGAAAACCACTGATCTAAGGAGCTACATAATTTAAACGCGTCCCAAATTGTTTAAGCCCCGACGAAACGAAAAGGAAATCTGGAATTTGACGTGGACCCAAGTTAGACGTTCGAAAGCCACTAAAGAAGCAACCTTCACCCAGGAAACGAGGAAAGAGGAGCAAGCACTGTGGCGCTGTAATTGCTCGCAGGCGATTGCAATGCGACGCGAGTAGATAGATTAGCACGTGTTAGGCAGCGTAAGTATGAGCGCTGGCGTTAATCACGATTTACGATCGCCATAAAACGTAACCATACCTTGGTAACTTAACATTGTTTACCGTGCCCGTGGCAGACTGCACGGAACAGAATTTTCTTTTGTAACAAATTAAACAGAAAGACAATGGCGTCGTATATCGGGCTTAACCATACGTTGTACCATTCTTGCACGAAAACGATCTTCTCTTCTGTTGTCTTTTACAAGGATAAATACGGGGGGAGAAAATAAAGAAATACAGGATGTTAAATTACAATATACACGCGTGGATTCGGAATAAAAATATCATAGTTCCTAGAGGAGCAACAGTGTGGCGCCACTTTACAAATGTCATTGGAAATTGATTTATGCACCGTGTAACCTTGACTGTGATCTTGGGAAAGAAAACTCTCGCCAGAAAAGCGATTTTAGGATAATTCAATTGCACAATATTGTGTGAACGATACACGTCCCTGGATGTATTTTCGATTTAGCGATCAGAAATAATGAGTGGCGACGCCAGATGGCGCTAGGTATCGGAAATTAGAATCATTTCAGAAATGTTGAAAAATTAATTTTTACTACCACGTGAAAAGAATAATAATAATTTTTATATCAGAGACAGAGTTAGTTTCTTTAGTTAGCTACAGAGGAAGTTAAGAAACGGTACGCTTCCACTGCATACATTGAGGTTATATTTCTTCCTTTTCCATATATTGCAAATAGATATTTTTCCTTATTTTTGTTATCACTAACTAAAGAATAGACACAACACATTCTAACAAATTATTTGCTTTTTCAATTCCTTAATTATTTATATCATTATTGCTGTTTTATTCTAGATATATTTTTATCAAAGTGGTTCGAAGTCACAGTCACATTTTATGAATACAAGGTTTCTTGGAATCGAACGTGTATAATACCATTGAAAATAAACTAAAAGTTATTAGCAATTATGGGTTTAGAATTCGATGGTTGTCTAGTTGAAAATTTTATTTCGTCACAGCAGGTGTTCGATGTACCTTAAGTCTATTTCGATGCATGCCTTGACACGTTGTCTCATGGAAGTTCGCGTACGCTCAAGAATGCCAGGTTTTTCCTTTATTTCTCGGCATGTGAAATTATCATAGCCAATCGCTACCAAAGAGAACACTCGAAACAACTGCCTTATAATACGCGACTTATTAATTTATCGACTGTTCAAGTCTAGACTAATGTTTGATTTAATATTTAGACTTAGACTTAATATTTTTTCATACTTTTACGAGTATAGCGGCCATTTTTTGGTGTGTGCGAACTTCAATGAGGAAATTTGTTCAAGCATCACCGAAATTGACTGAAAACATTTTACGCGCCAAGATATTATCAAACTATAATTTGAAAACTGTTGATTTGTATCATGTTAACTAACACATATTTGTTTATTTTGTTGAGACTATCAATTTTAATATACCTTGTGTAAATAAAGTTGTTGTCTAGATATAAAAATTAAGATATCTTGTAAAGTAACGATTTTTTGCAATAAGTGCGAAAGAAGGACCACAATTGTCCGACTTCGATTTTAACGAGTCTTTGCATAGTGATAGTATACATGTTCCTAATGGCATGTGTAAAATATTAGGTGCAGATATTCGGTAATTTTAAAGATATAAACAATTAAAGTTATGAACCATATCTAAATACAGTAAATATAGAGAGCCCATACTGCAGTGACTTTGGCGAAGTGAGAAAAGTGTCTGAATTGGAAATTCAAGGTCCCAGGTTCGATTCCCGGGTTCACAGTTGTTACACGTTTTTTTCTATTGCAAAAGTTTATTGCGTTCACAGAGTACATGATTCTGTATAATACATGCCATCATGTATGCAATAAAAACATATAAATGATAGTAACAATAAATAAAAATAAATGAATGTATCTTATACAATACTTAACACAAGAACAACTACCAAACCAGTCAAAATGACCAAAAATGACCCATTCGTAATTTCTAATAAAACTTGTAAAAAATTTACTCGACTGAATTTTTGAAAATTTATCGTAATTTTCTATAAGAGAATATATAAACACTTATTTCCATTGCAGTATATATTCCTTCGCGTATCTATCGTTTCAATTTCTTTGGTACAAATGAACACACTATAATTGTCGGTAGTTCTAGTGTTAGTGATTTACAAAAATATAGAATTAATATAGTTTTAAAGCATAAATTATTGCCCATATTATAAGAAAGTATTAACACTAAATTAATTGTATATTTTTGTAAATTATTACCTTTAAGTATTAAATAAGATTAACATTTTATCGTTATCTTTTATATGTTTTTATTGCATATTATAAACGAAATAAAACTTGAAAAAAAAACGTACACAATTCACCGGGAATCGAACCCGGGTTCCTTGTGTTTCCAACTCAGGCACTTTTCTCACTTCGCCAAAGTCACTTCAACATGGACTAAGAATATTCACGATATTTAGGTATGGTTCATAACTTTAATTGTTTATATCTTTAAAATTATTGAGTATCTACACCTAATATTTTAGACATATCATTGGGAACATATATACTATCATCATGCAAAGACTCGTTAAAATCAAAGTTGGACAATTTGGATCCTTCTAATTGGGGATTCCATTTAAAAAAAAAAAATTTACGCCCAACTATCGTGTAAGCATGAGTCAGAATTGAAATAGTTACCTCAAGACAAAAATTTAAGTTGTAGAGTTAAATATAATCACCACGAAGATATAAAAATTTAACTGTTTGATCGACTAAACGTCACGGAATAAATAGTCATGCGTTCGTTTTATTGGCCATCTATCGAATGTTGCTCAACTCTGTATGAAGCTTGTCCCCCGGACTATGATTTTGAATAACCTTAAACGTGAAAGCTATGATTCCAATTTGGTACGGTTGGGAAGATCGAAGATCGCTTATCGTGCAAGCATAATCGAAAAGGTCCCATGAGAGGCCCTCGAAAATTTCCCTTATCTTGTGTGAAAAGCCACGTGCACCACGTGTTAAACTTACGAGTGAAGTCGTTCGCAAGGCAGGCACCCCATTCTTGCCTGGAGAGTTTCAAATCCCGATTTAGGTCGCACGTGCGGGCGAACGTACGGGCACATTTCTTCGGCCTTACCGCCTTCTTCGCGAGCCTCCGGAGTTCCTTGTACTCCGTCCTGTCCAGGTACCCGTCACCGTTCTTGTCCAGGGTGACGAATTTCCACGACAACACGCGTTCCACATTTTTGTCACCTACCGGTCGCGGAAAAATGATATTAAACAAATTCATATACACCTATGGGGGGGGAAAAAAATTTCGAGATTTTTTTATAGCGGAAATACACGTTTCAAGGCCCCCTGAATATAGAGTGACTATTTGAAAAAAGGAAATTTTTTTTTCTATGCCTATGTATAGTCGGATTAATTTAGGTCGAGCTTCGAGAGGCAAGCAAAATTTCGAAATTTTTTTTTGAGGGAAATACACAATTATGACCCCCTGATCATAGGGAGACTATTTGAAAAAAGGAAATTTTTTTTTCTATGCCTATGTATAGTCGGATTAATTTAGGTTGAGCTTCGAGAGGCAAGCAAAATTTCGAAATTTTTTTTTTAGGGAAATTACACGTTTTATGACCCCCTGATCATAGGGTGACTATTTAAAAAAAAGAATATTTTTTTTCTATGCCTATAAATGTATGTCTCCACCATCAATTTAAAACAGCTGTTCGATGATTATTTTAGAATACATAACATTTATCATTTATTAAATCGCGATGACAAAATGGAAAATTATGAAAGTGGAAAACTATACAGGGTGTTCGGCTAACCATGGGAAAATTTTTAATGGCGTATTCTAGAGGCCAAAATAAGACGAAAATCAAGAATACTAATTTGTTGATGGAGGCTTTGTTAAAAAGTAATTAACATTCAAAGTTCCGCCCGTAATGAATTTTTTTCTCGAAAATGCGCCGGATTTTGGAGGTATGCCTATTCACTAAAAATGATTGTAATTGACCCCCGCAACCGAAAATAATTTTTCCAGAACGATTTCAAATTTTTTTTTTCGTTGAAAAATTTGATACCTTCTTCAATTTTTTTCTAGATAGTGGGTAGGATTTCGGGGGTATGTCTATTCACCAAAAATGATTGCAATTAACCCCTGTAACAGCAAATAATTTTTTTAAAACAATTTGAAAAATTTTTTTTCGCCGAAAAATTTCAGCACATATCCGATTTTTTTTCTCGAAAGTGAATAGGATTTCGGAGGTATATGTTTTCACCAAAAATGTTTGTAATTGACCCCCTCGACCGAAAATAATTTTTCTAGAACGTTTTGAAATTTTTTAATTTAATTGTTAATAACTTTTTAACGAAGCCTCAATCAACAAATTGGTATTCATGATTTTCGTCTTATTTTGGTCTCTAGAATCCTTCATTAAAATTTTCCCCAGAGTTGGCCGAACACGCTGTATAGTCTAATTTAGGTTGAGCTCCGAGAGGTAGACAAAATTTCGAAATTTTTATTCAGCGTTAATACATGTTTTAAGACTCCCTGATCATACTGCGATTATTAAAAAAAAGTCTTCGAAAAAAATTTTTATTATTTTGATTCGACTTAGCCTGAGATTTTGAAGTGTCATTTGATAAGTAAAGATCTCTTTATCGATAAACGGCTTTTCTTTAAGTATCATGCAATCAATGAATCTCACAATTCACTTAAATCTCAGAATAATCCCTTTTTTAAATCTTTCTAAATTTTAAACTTTTCAGTAGGAATTAACGCAAATTAATTATTCGAGTTGAAAGAGTATGATGAATAATGACTTGCATGTTAACCTTGTTCAAGTTATTTTGATATAAAACAAGACCGTGACTAAAAAACTAACTTTCAGTTGTGCAATTATAGCACCATTGCCATTACGAGAAGCTAATTCCATTAGGTTTAAAGTTACTAGAAGTGCATAAAAACTACTCAATCCGATTTTTAATTAAAAAATTTGCTACTCGGATGCATCTTAGTTCCAAAGAAAAATTTTACAACTTTGATTTATACAACTTATACCAATTAAGTTTATACAGGGTGTTTGGCCACCATTTGGGATAAATTTTAACGGGAGATTCTAGAGGCGAAAATAAGACGAAAATCAAGAATACCAATTTCTTGATGGAGGCTTCGTTAAAAAGTTATTAACAATTAAATTCAAAAATTTCAAATCGTTCTGGAAAAATTATTTTCGGTTGTGGGAGTCAATTGCAATCATTTTTGGTGAACAGACATACCTCCGAAATCCTATCCACTTTCGAGAAAAAAAATCGGGTAGATGCTGAAATTTTTCGGCGAAAAAAAAATTTTTTTAATCGTTCTAAAAAAATTATTTTCGGTTGCAGGGGGTACTTAGAATCATTTTTGGTAAATAGACATACCCCCGAAATCCTACTCACCGTCTAGAAAAAAATTCGAGAAAGTATGAAATTTTTCAATGGAAAAAAAAATTTCAAATCGTTTTGGAAAAATTATTTTCGGTTGCGGGGGTCAATTACAATCATTTTAGGTGAACAGACATACCCCCGAAATCCTACCCACTATCTAGAAAAAAATTCGAGAAGGTATGAAATTTTTCAACGGAAAAAAAAATTTCAAATCGTTCTGGAAAAATTATTTTTGATTGCGGGGGTCAATTACAATCATTTTTAGTGAATAGACATACCTCCAAAATTCGGCGCATTTTCGCGAAAAAAATTCATTACGAGCGGAACTTTAAACGTTAATAACTTTTTAACAAAGCCTCCATCAACAAATTAGTATTCTTGATTTTCGCTTTATTTTGGCCTCTGGAATGCCCCATTAAAATTTTTCCCATGGTTAGCCGAACACCCTGTATAGTTTTCCACTTTCATAATTTTCCACTTTATCATGGCGATTTAATAAATGATAAATGTTACGTATTCTAAAATAATCATCGAACAGCTGTTTGAAATTGATGGTAGAGACATAAATTTATTAATTTAAAAATATCGTTTCTGTTATTTCGATACATTTTTAATTAGAACCTTTTGTTTCCTTACTTATTGAATAACCCTCGTACAACGCGTGTTTTAAACATACAAACTCCTCAAAGTTTGATTCTCCTGAGTTTCGAACAAAGAATCAATAAAGTCAATTTAAACAAAAAATTATGAATATTTGATACAATTTAATTTCATAAATATGTTAGGCCCAAACGATACGTACTTTAATTCTATTATTTCTTTTTTTAAGAATATTCAAAAATTTTCAGTATTGTCACCTTTATTTTAATAACTAAAAATTCCATGTTTTCCAATATTCCAAACAGACGATTATTAGCAAACACGTATCGAATTAATATTCAACGTAAATTCTCAATTGAGTTCAAGTAGGAAGAACGTGCTGGCCAATTTAAAGGGGGGATCTTATTTTCATTAAACCAGCGTTGGCTTCGTATATTGATATGTACTGCTTGTCCTATAAATTGGGTCATTCCATATGAAATTGAACACGTTTTCGAATAACATTTCAGATTTTTTAGGAAGTCTCAGGTACTCGTACTCAACAAGCTAACAAATAAAAAATAATTATTAACAATTATGTAACATTAATAACAAGTGGATTAATAACAAAATCGAATATAAAATTTTTAATATTCTCCTTTAAAACGATTAATAACACATTGAAAACTTCTCTTATTATTATAGCCATTCCAAAAAACACCATTTCCTTCGATTCAAATACTTGACTAATTTGACGTGAATTTTTATTGTGATGCACTAATGGCCGTGAACGTTATAACATTTAAATTTATAAGTCACATTACCATGCATTCAATTCTTACCTAGTTTTTATTTTTTTTAAATTATTATGCACTTGAATGTAATGGCTAACTGGTTCATTGACCATTTTCATTTTACTTTCTCTTTGTGTATTTAAAAATTTCTTTGGCATTCATGTCATTTTGCATTACAATAAAAATTCCATAATATTGAAATTTGTAAGTCACATTACCATGCATTCAATTCTACATAGTTTTTATTTTTTTAAATTATTATGCATTTGAATGTAATGGCTAACTGGTACATTGAGTATTTTCATTTTACTTTCTCTTTGAGTATTTAAAAACTTCTTTTAGTTAGTACATTGCGTAAATTAAGTAAAATTGCAACACTCGACGTAAATCATAATTGTTGCAGCTCATTAAAATTTTTACTCCCCGCGAACGTGTTGAGACCCGTAGGAACATAACCTATAAATTTTCTACCATTATCTACTGTTACCAAAATTATTAGCTTGTAAAAATAAAAAAGAAATTAGTGGACTGTTTCGGTTACAGCAGAAACGAGGTATACGAGTAGACCTTGCACCTTATGGACATTTGTGATCCAATATGGCTGCCATACCGACCTGAAAATTCGGCAACAAGTTTGTAAGAAAAAGTCGACATAAAATTAAAAAATTTCAAATCATACTAAAAAAATTATTTTTGGTTGCAGGCATCAATTATAATTATTTTTTGTGAATATGCCTACCCACGAAATCCTACGCGATTCCGAGAAAAAAATTCTTTTCGAAAAAAGAGGCCACATTTAATGATTCTATATCTCCAATGGAATTAGTCGATTGATGCCCAATTCTGGATCGTACAGCTTTCATTCCGTTAAAAAACAATACTGTAATTTCATTTTCTGTCTCACTTCCTCTTGTGTTCATTTCTAAACCTGTTGGTAACGTTGCGAGTGACACGAAAATGGTAATGGGGTCTCGAGACCCCAGAAAAATGGCCCGAAAAAATACATTGGATGTAAGGTCTACTCGTATATACAGGGTGTTCAAAAATAAGACGAAAATCAAGAATATCAATTTGTTGATGGAGGCTTTGTTAAAAAGTTATTAACGTTTAAAGTTCCGCCCATACTGAATTTTTTTCTCGAAAATGCGCAGGATTTCGGGGTTATGTCTATTTACCAAAAATGATTGCAATTGACCCCCGTAACCGAACATAATTTTTCCAAAACGATTTGAAATTTCTTTTTTCCGTTGAAAAATCACACCTTCTCGAATTTTTTTCTAGAAAGTGGGTAAGATTTTGGGGGTATGTCTATTCATAAAAAATGATTGTAATTGTCCCCGCAAACGAAAATAATTTTTCCAGAATGATTTGAAATTTTTTTTTTTCGTCGAAAAATTTAGGTATCTAATTAGATTTTTGGTAAAGAATTTTTTTCTCGAAAGTGCGTAGTATTTAAGGAGTAATTGTAATGACCAAAAATGATTGTAATTGACTCGTGTAACTAAATATATTTTTTTTAGTATGATTTGAAATTTTTTAATTTCGTCCAAAAATTTTAGCACCTACCCCATTTTTTTTTCTCGAAAGTGAAAAAATGATTGTAATTGACACCCGCAATCGAAAATAATTTTTCCAGAACGATTTGAAATTTTTGAATTTAATTGTTAATAACTTTTTCACGAAGCCTCCATCAATAAATTGGTATTCTTGATTATCGTCGTATTTTGGCCTCTAGAATACCCCATTAAAATTTTTCCCAGGGTTGACCGAACACCCTGTATACCTCATCTGTGGTTAATGTTTCGAAGTGCCCTCACCGTCGGTGGAGATATTGGTCCGCCTGTACTCGATCTTGAAATTCTCGATTAGGTTCCCGTTAAATTTCGACTTCTCCGCGCGATCGCAGGTGTTCCTATGCTTACTGCTGTACTGCCTTCGCTGCTTCCAGTTCGGCGAGCGCCTCCTTTGGCCGCTCCTGGTGGAAGCAGCAGATCTGGGACCAGGTTTCAAACATCTTGGTCTTTGGTGTCTTACCGAGGTGTCGGGCAGCGGTCTACCCTGCGGTGTCACGCACCAACAGTACCCGGTTTCCTCGTGACATTGCACCGGCGCGTAAGTGCCATCGGAACGACAGACTGGTCGCGCGCCCGTCCTGGCGGTCAGTCTTGCGGAGAAACACGCAGGTGTCTCTGGATGGACAGGTTCAACGACGTTGTTCCTCGTTAGTCGTCACCATTTTTATCGACATACCTCATTTATCGAATTGTTACTTTACGAATAAAGCTCGTTATATACAAATTCATGAGCCCACTAAAAACTGTAGTTCCGCAAGACTAATAGCCAATATTGTAAGCTTCATTTTTGTCCCGAATTATTGTTTTTTCTCTTTTGCAATATTATGTAAAAACTAACGAAAGATAAAGTTATGAGAAAATAAATTTGCAATATTTACATAAAAAATGACTTGTTAACCTTTTTGAGCGAAATACTGTTTGCAGGATTCAGAAAAGTGTAACTTCGGTTATACAAAAACATTTATTTAGAGATTAATTACAATGAAAATTGTTTCAAATAATTATTAGGTCTGAGTTAAAATTTATCTACATTGAGTGTTAAAAAATCAAAGTTTCAAAAGTAATGGAAACTAACCTCAAACTAAATCTCGAACACCTACAGTTTTCAACTTCGTGAAGCAATAGGTATTGCAAGAAACATATTTTTACAGAAAATAAGGTTATTTTTATTAAGCTTTATCCAAGATCTATCACATTTACTAAAAAACAAGAGCAAAATTCATCTACATTGAGTGTTAAAAAGTGAATGTTTCAGAAGTAATAAAAACTAACCTCAAAGTAACACTATATTTACGGCTATTGATCGCACGTATTTTTATTGATACCTTTCATGTTGACGATTACATTAAAATACGATTTTTCTTTTAATTAGAATATGTATTCATGCCATTGCATCAATCAAATTCAACATAAGTTGTTAAAAAATAATATTTACGCGTTCTGCAATTTTAAATATAGAACCAGACATCCGTCAAATTGACGGCTTCCGTAAATCTAGTGTTAAATCTCGAACACCTATAGTTTTGTATTTCGTGAAGCAACTGGTATTGCAAAAAACAAATTTGAACAAAAAATAAAGTTATTTTTATTAAACTTTATTCAAGGTAAATCACATTTACTAAAAACAAGACCTAATTTATCTACATTGAGTGTTAAAAAGTCAATGTTTCAAAAGTAATGGAAACTAACCTCAAACTAAATCTCGAACACCTACAGTTTTCAACTTCGTGAAGCAATAGGTATTGCAAGAAACATATTTTTACAGAAAATAAGGTTATTTTTATTAAGCTTTATCCAAGATCTATCACATTTACTAAAAAACAAGAGCAAAATTCATCTACATTGAGTGTTAAAAAGTGAATGTTTCAGAAGTAATAAAAACTAACCTCAAAGTAACACTACATTTACGGCTATTGATCGCACGTATTTTTATTGATACCTTTCATGTTGACGATTACATTAAAATACGATTTTTCTTTTAATTAGAATATGTATTCATGCCATTGCATCAATCAAATTCAACATAAGTTGTTAAAAAATAATATTTACGCGTTCTGCAATTTTAAATATAGAACCAGACATCCGTCAAATTGACGGCTTCCGTAAATCTAGTGTTAAATCTCGAACACCTATAGTTTTGTATTTCGTGAAGCAACTGGTATTGCAAAAAACAAATTTGAACAAAAAATAAAGTTATTTTTATTAAACTTTATTCAAGGTAAATCACATTTACTAATAACAAGACCTAATTTATCTACATTGAGTGTTAAAAAGTCAATGTTTCAAAAGTAATGGAAACTAACCTCAAACTAAATCTCGAACACCTACAGTTTTCAACTTCGTGAAGCAATAGGTATTGCAAGAAACATATTTTTACAGAAAATAAGGTTATTTTTATTAAGCTTTATCCAAGATCTATCACATTTACTAAAAACAAGAGCAAAATTCATCTACATTGAGTGTTAAAAAGTGAATGTTTCAGAAGTAATAAAAACTAACCTCAAAGTAACACTACATTTACGGCTATTGATCGCACGTATTTTTATTGATACCTTTCATGTTGACGATTACATTAAAATACGATTTTTCTTTTAATTAGAATATGTATTCATGCCATTGCATCAATCAAATTCAACATAAGTTGTTAAAAAATAATATTTACGCGTTCTGCAATTTTAAATATAGAACCAGACATCCGTCAAATTGACGGCTTCCGTAAATCTAGTGTTAAATCTCGAACACCTATAGTTTTGTACTTCGTGAAGCAACTGGTATTGCAAAAAACAAATTTGAACAAAAAATAAAGTTATTTTTATTAAACTTTATTCAAGGTAAATCACATTTACTAAAAACAAGACCTAATTTATCTACATTGAGTGTTAAAAAGTCAATGTTTCAAAAGTAATGGAAACTAACCTCAAACTAAATCTCGAACACCTACAGTTTTTCAACTTCGTGAAGCAATAGGTATTGCAAGAAACATATTTTTACAGAAAATAAGGTTATTTTTATTAAGCTTTATCCAAGATCTATCACATTTACTAAAAAACAAGAGCAAAATTCATCTACATTGAGTGTTAAAAAGTGAATGTTTCAGAAGTAATAAAAACTAACCTCAAAGTAACACTACATTTACGGCTATTGATCGCACGTATTTTTATTGATACCTTTCATGTTGACGATTACATTAAAATACGATTTTTCTTTTAATTAGAATATGTATTCATGCCATTGCATCAATCAAATTCAACATAAGTTGTTAAAAAATAATATTTACGCGTTCTGCAATTTTAAATATAGAACCAGACATCCGTCAAATTGACGGCTTCCGTAAATCTAGTGTTAAATCTCGAACACCTATAGTTTTGTATTTCGTAAAGCAACTGGTATTGCAAAAAACAAATTTGAACAAAAAATAAAGTTATTTTTATTAAACTTTATTCAAGGTAAATCACATTTACTAAAAACAAGAGCTAAATTTATCTACATTGAGTGTTAAAAAGTCAATGTTTCAAAAGTAATGGAAACTAACCTCAAACTAAATCTCGAACACCTACAGTTTTCAACTTCGTGAAGCAATAGGTATTGCAAGAAACATATTTTTACAGAAAATAAGGTTATTTTTATTAAGCTTTATCCAAGATCTATCACATTTACTAAAAAACAAGAGCAAAATTCATCTACATTGAGTGTTACAAAGTGAAAGTTTCAAAAGTAATGGAAACTAACCTCAAACTAAAACTCGGGCAGTTATATTTGACCCACTCTGCAAACATTTTTCTTGAAACGGGTAACAATTCAATGTTTACGTAAATATTACCAAATTTTGTCCCATTACTTTATCTTTCGCGTATTCTTACGTAATTCTGTGAAAACTGAACTTATAATATTGGCTAACAGTTTAGTATTCCATGGTCTATTCGATTACACTGGTCAACAAATTTTAAACAGATTCTATTCTTTACGATTAAGCTGTCCATTCTCATTTATGTATTTACTGAGTGTCCCACGCGACTAGGGAAAAGTTTTTTTCCCTAGTTAATATTTTTTTATTCTGTTAGATGGAGTTGACTTTCTTAACCTATCACAAATTATAAAATCATAAATTTACTAACAAAATGCAGTTGAAAATACTATATTTGTATAGGTTAAGCCTGCTTAGTGTCGATTGTGTTTCTAGCAATAATCTGCTAACATTCTAAATCAGGTTAAAGCCAATATTTTAACTTAACCTTCATTTTCGTAATTCGTCATAACAGAGACTGAAAGTGATAAATATTTACTGTTGGCTAGTGTTATTAACCTATACCAGTATATTAATAATCGAAATTAACAAACAAGTTAAAACGACACGAATAAGGAAAATTTATTTATTTAACTTTATCCTTTCATAGTATTAACTTTTCATGGAATGCTTGCACAGATCGCGCGGAACGTAGTTCGAAAAATGCTGGTAAGAATAAATATAGGAATGAACATACAAGATATCCGATCTGCATATAAATATAAAACTATTTCGATATAATTAAACTGTCAGTATGGTAAAGAATTCTAGGATTACTGTGAGTAGAATGTATCACCCTACCTGGACAAGGGCCAGTGTGTTTGATAAGAATAGACATGCCTTGACACTGCTTCGAGATGACCTGACACTGACTCGAATACGTAACACCGTCGCTCCCACATACCGGTGTGCTTGCGCCGTCACTCATCGTGCACTCGGCTATCCTTTTTCTGCACTCCTCCTAAAACACAGAACCCACACCATCTATACAACAATTCAAGAATTATCGAGCATTCCAAAGCCGCAAACTTAAATCGAACGAAACATCCTTCTCGACGCGTTGCACGCGGCGCTAAGAGCGTTCGATTCGGAATCAATTGTTCCAGAAAATCGATCATCTAACACTTTTACTGCCACGTCACCCATATATGGGTGACAGGATTTACCATTATGATACTAGCAAAATTGATTCTCAAGTTATGACGTTGAGAGAAATAAATTTGAATAGAATTTTTAAATTTTAACAAGGTTACGAAAATAAGTAGTGAAACAAATTTTAGGTTATGTAACTTACAATGGTCTAAAATCAACATTTCACTTTTGCAGAATATTATACGGTTTTGATGTGGCAGTGAACGTGTTAATACGATTTTCGATTTGATCGAATCGATTCTTGGATATCCGATTTTGGCTGGAATCGATTCTTTTTTTTAATTACGAATCGATCTTTCATTATCGAGAATCGAACGTGATGTACGAGACTTTTCTGTTTGACCTTAAATTTATATTTTAAAAATACACAAACAGCAACAAATGAGAAAAGAAAAATTAATATTCACTTTGAAATAAGTATTACAGACTATTCATATAATTTCTAATTTGAGGACCAGTCAAAATCACTTTTTCCCTAGATGTCTGGGATTTTGTTTAAAATTGAATATGATGTAGAGTACACGATATTAGGGGTAGTTTAAGTCATCATTTTGCTGGTTTCGAATTTGTTTAAAAAATACAGACCTTTGAAGTTTACGACTTTTGTAAAAATTGGTTGTACAGTGAAAACTCGATAAATGTCGCTACTCCGGGTCCGGTCAGCAACACTTACGGAATAGGAGAATCGTCTTTCGAATTTGATTGTAGTTTGCCGACGCTTCGAACGTAGAAAGAGTCAGTAGCTAAAGAAGAAAGAGGGACTGAAACTCGGATTTATCGCCCCAGTTTAAATATCCGCGTCAGTGTGACCACACTACTGCACAGAAGAAAGTTTTTTATTTTTTACTTTTTGTTAATAAAAATTTCACTATCATGTTGGGGAGATTTCTCTGATTAAAATGAGGCTAAACACGATATAAATCGGTCAATATTTGGTAGCATAATATTGAATTAAATATTGTACTTGCGAGTCTTTCTCTCTGTATTTATCCTTCTTGTGCTGTCCTTTTCTATGTTCGGAAATATCAAAGAACGACGCATCGAGTTGCTGGCTACATTTATCGAACGGGAGGTAGCTATTTTCAAACGGAACGGTTCCACCGTTTCGTAAGTGATCAAAAACTGCAACACATATGAAATAGGGGGTTTCGTTAGCTACCTCTGTTCGATAAATGTACTATCCACTGACCTTGCGAAGATACGAGTACACAATATTTAATTCAATATTATGGTAACAAATATTGGCCGATTTATATCGTGTTTAGTCACATTTTAATTAGAAAAATCTTCCCCGCATGATAGTAAAATTTTTATTAAAAAAAAGTAAAAAATAAAAAACTTTCTTCTTGTACAGTAGTGTGGTCACACTGACAGGGACATTTAAACTAAGATGACGAAGGCAATAAAGATTTTTAAAGAAAGCCGCTACGTCTCCGGTTACACTTCGCCTCACTGGTTCAAGGGGGATCCCCCTAGTGGTGGGGATAAAAATGTATCACTTACGGGACAGCTCTTGAGGACATTTATCGAGTATTCACTGTACTTAAGATGAAGAGGCGGCGTGATGCTGGATTTGTGTCGCTGGCCGCCATCAACGACTCCCCAGGTCGTTTCCCTGATCCGTGGCGTTCCAATTGCACGGTGCAACGCACCTCTGCGCGGCCGGACCGAACCGCCAATGGTACCAGCATTTCCCTTGATGGTCCATTTGTCCTCCCGCGGGCCGCTCTCGCGATCGCGATAGAGATCGTCTGCGGTAGCGCGAGTTTGGATGATTTCGGTGGGTCCACCTGCGACGGGAAGATTGCCCCTGGTCCACCAAGGATTCACGGATGGCAGAAATTTCCTGCCTCAAGGAAAGAGCCAATTGTGACATCTTAATGTTTAACATGGCCTCGATGCTCGGACCCGGCGGGGGTATTTGGCAGGATGCAGATACGCCCGTAATCGCGGCCTCCGTGACGTGTACCCGCGGTGTCATCGTATCCGCAACAGCGTCTGCCAACTCTGCCACCTTATCCAGCGGGGTGTCCCGCTGCGTGGCTAAAATCACCTGCATATTAGCAGGTAGTCGGCCCATCCAAAGCGTCCGCAATACACCGTCCGAAAAAGCCGTACCGGCCAATCCGCGCAGGTGACGAAGAAATTGGGACGGTTTTCTGTCCCCGATTTCCTCGTGTTCCAATTGTGTTCTAAGGCCTGGAAGTCGGCAAAGGCCTGGAAGTCGACAAAGGCCTGGAAGTCGGCACGTCTTAAGATAATCCTCAAAAACAAGGACAGGGATCGAGGAAGCATCAACTCTTACCGACCCATAGCACTTCTCTCAGCCATCGGTAAAATATTCGAGAGAATTATTGTTGCGAGAGTAGACGAAACATACAGGAGCAGGGGGCTGGAACACCCCAGCCAATACGGCTTCAAAAGCCGAAAATCTACTGAAGACGCACTAATCGGGCTGAGAAATGGGTGAAAGGGTCGGATAAGAAATACGTCATTGCCATATTCGTGGACATCGAGGGAGCCTTCGACAACTTGTGGTGGCCCGCAATCGTGAAGAGACTAATCGACGCTAGATGTAGCACCACTATGGTAAACCTAGTGAAGAGCTATTTCAAAAGAAGGGACGTACTTGTAACATCTAAGTACGAGAGTATAACCACGCGTATGCGGAAGGGGTGTCCACAGGGGTCAATCATTGGCCCCAAAGCCTGGTGCTGGTGTATGGACACCCTTCTCGAAGCATACAGCGATACCTTCAATGCCAGCGATCTAGAAGTGATTGCGTACGCCGACGATCTGGCCATCTTGATCAAAGCGAATACTACGAAGCGGATTGGAAACTCTGGGTAGTAGAGCCACCGAGATACTGCACGAATGGTGCAGATTCCACAAATTACAAAGTGTCACCCACGAAGACGTATGGAATGCAGTTCAAAGGAAAACTCAGGGGCAGGCCCCCTCTCATTAGAATAAACAACGAGACGGTACAGTTTGTCGATCAAACGAAGTACTTGGGAATAATCGTGGACAAGAAGCTGAGCTTCATACCCCACGTTATATACATAAGGGAAAAAGTCTCAAACTTTGTTATGACAATCAGAAGAGTAGCAAATCAAGAATGGGGGATAAAATCCCACATCATAGAAACACTATACAAGGCCGTATTCCTGCCCATAGCCACCTATGGCTGTGCGGTATGGTACGACAGGGTATCACACACACACATTAGGAGACATCTACACGCTGCACAGAGAATAATGCTACTTCTGATTACAAAGGCGTGCAGGACCACGTCCACTGACGCAATGCAGGTCATTAGCGGAACCTTACCACTTGACTTAGAAATCGTAAGAATAGGATTAACAGCCAACATCAGGAAGAATCAACGAGCTCAATGGAAGCAATACACCTATCATCCAGTTGGGAATCCAAACGAAGTAAACCTCAACACGGAAAAAAGAAGAATCGAGGAAACACTAGTCGATGAATGGCAAAGAAGATGGGCAAACTCGCCCCATGCGAGGAACACTTTCTCTTTCATAGGACACGTCTCTTTCAAAGGGGAAAATCGATGGTTTTCTCCGGGCAGAGAGTGCGTGTACCTGATGACAGGGTACGGTCCTATCAACGGTTCACTGTTTGACAGAGGAGCCGTTGATGACCCTAGGTGCCCTGCGTGCAACACCCGAAGAGAAACAGCGGAACACATGCTGTACGAATGCCCCTTATATGAAGATTACCGATACGCCGGACTAGCGCAACATAGACACAACCCTCAGAGGCTGATAGCCTCCAGAGAGGATTTCAGGGAATTCAACCAACTGGCGAAGAGGATTATAACAGCAAGAAACGAACTCATTGGATAAGTAGAAAAGGTCCGCCTCCTCGTGGCTAGGGACGGAAACGTCGGCTCTAAAAGGCCGACGGCTAAGAGACCTTGAGAAGAATAGGCACTATAAATACAAACACTTGAGAATAAGTAAATATATATTGAATGCAAAGAAAGCATAGTGTGTTCACTAATAGAGGTGACTCGAGGCAGTGATGAGTGGAAGCTCGAATACTGCACACACGAAGTGTCTATATATATATATATATATATATATGTTCCAATAACCGCCGCGTTTTCTGTTCCTGCGACGCACTAAGCCGGGAGAATGAACTCATTTTTTAGCGTCGTGTACGGATCCGCGGCCGGGGGATTCATGATAATGTCTCTTACTTCCGCGGCGTGTCGCGCACTTAACGCGCCGAGAATGTACCCGAATTTCGTGGTCTCCGACGTTACATTGGATACCTCAAAACTTCTCTCTACCATTGAAAACTACATCTCCGGGTCTCCCGGACAAAACTCGGGTATCCGTACAGCGACGCGATCAACTGCCAACGGCACACCCGCGGATGTCGCTGCGTTAACGTTAGGGTCAGTCATTTTACCAGTCTTGGTCACAAAAAAAAAATAGTTTCACCGCACACACACACCGCGCTTACTATTTGTCAGACCGTGTCCTTTTCTTATGTCCTTAACAATATACACTTATTTCTCTACCCTAACTAATATTGTCCGTACACGAAAAATGTCCAAATTTTCTTAAAAAAACTTTACTTGCGCGGCGAGATCACGTCGGGGTCATCAATGTGGGATCGGGAAGATAATGACTCCGCTCTGTTCCGTTCCGCACAATTGTATTGTTGCTGTCGTACAACGACGTGGCTCGTGGTGCGGGTTACGCTCGACTCTCTGGTACGATCATCGCCACCGTACCAAGAGGCCTTCGAAAACAAAAGACGGTCAGAGACGACGACAAC